CCCTCCCCCCCATCCCCCAGATGAGCTGTGGCTCTGTCCAGTGCCCTGTCCCGGCTCGGCAGTACCTGCTTCAGCTCCAGCCCCACCCCGCTCCCCTCCCTGAATAGCGTGCCCCCCTAGCCTGGCGGGGCACTTGTCCCAGCCCCATTTCCTTCCAACCCCAACAGACTTACCAGCTGGAGGCACCTGTCAGCTGCCTGTTTAGTCTATGACTGAATCTCCAAATCAGCCAGATCTTTTTCCGAAGCTTTTCCTAATTGATTCGCATTCTTCGTATGCATAAGGCCCATGGGTTCACCAGGTTGCATGCCTTATGCACATGGATAGGGACAGACATTCAAAAAGCCTGAGTTTGAATTGCAGCTTAGTCTAACCTAGCTAGGCCGAATCACTTTGTAACTGCACAGATATCCCAGAAATGCAAGCACATGCCTGCAGTGGCTCAGGCTAGAGGCTGGGGGGTGCTAGAGCAGCTCTCCCTTCCCTTCCAGAGGGCTGAGCTGAGGGGGGCATGGCCAGGTCCTGGCAGGATTAGGGAGGGGTTCTCCCACCCCTCCTTGATTACAGAGCATTTATCAGCTCTGATATTAGCATTTATCACCCCATCAGAAAACAAACAGCCTCTCTCATTAGTTCAAACTGTTCTTAAAGAAGAAACAAAGGGACATTACTAGCTGAACTTTGACTAGCTCCAAAAAGGCCTAAGCCGACACTGCTGTCTGCCACAGCATGGACCGTAGCCAGCATGTGGTCTGCTAGGTAGTGCTTTATTTACATGTTAACAAATCATCTAGCTTCTCACTTAAATGATCTGTGTGGAAAAGCAGTAGTTCAGCCATTATTAAATTAGGATTCCTTGTCCTACCTTGTTTGGATGACAGTACTGCTGCTCAAACTCACCCAGGAGTTGTGGGAAGATGTACAGGTCATTCTTGGAAGAAAGAAAGGTTACTTACATGTAACCAGAGTTCTTCAAGACAGACTGTATATATTCACACTCCTTATCCATCTTCCCCTCCTCCTTCTCAGAGTCCTAACATGGCCAGAGTACCAATTCCTACTTTTCCTCAAAATGCTTAGGAGGAACAGGACCTTGTGCTAAAGTGTCCCAGTAGAAACTGGTATGAAATGTTCCCCATTAGGGCTTCATGAGCAGCGCGTGCTTGGGGTGTGAACATGCAGAATCCATTTAAAAGAATTCTAGTTACAGGTGAGTAGCCTTCATTTCTTAAGCAAGGCTGCCATTTAAGAATCTTGGCTATAATAATTAATTGCATTAAAGCAATATGACGACATGAAGCTGATTACAAACTCTAACATTGTTCCACCACTAGCTTATTACTTAGTTATATGACAATCATGGGCCAGCACTCTACTGTGCTAGGTGCTGTACAAATGTGCAAAAAAGACACTTCCATCTACTTAAGGTTGCAGCTGCCAAGACACTTGCCCTTGCTGAATATTGCAGCATTACAAGCATGCACAATAACTAGCTCTTCTTGTGGGGATTGGTGAACAAACGAATCCCATGGTTAGGTGACACTACCCAGGGAACCTCCATAAAGAATCTGGATTGATTTGATGGGGTTTTAAGCATACATGTGAAGTGCTGTGGACGTTAATTGAAAAGGGTTTTGCATTTCTGAAAATTCATCCAAGTTCAGATGCTTTAAATGATCAGCTGAAGTATTTCACTTTGCCTGCATTATTTTCCTACAATGGATAAAGAAACCAAATATAAATCTCTCTCTAAGTAAAATTGTTGTGGCAACTGAGATGAGGGGGGAGGCGATCGGAAATGGCTGCTCTTTGTAGGATTGGTAATATTAGTTTTGATTTATTGGGAAATCGGCTTTCTAGTTACTTTTAAAAATCACAGACAGCTGTCTTCAAAAAAAGACTGTTAGAGCATATGTTGCAAAGCAAACTAGTGGATTTAGAACAATCTGCCATATTTTGCCCTAGTGTTTTTATCTGTTTTGGTTGTATAATAGAACAGTAGTTTTTACAGCTATTTCAATACTGTACTCAAGGGAGACCGCCAGAAAATAGTTTTAGCACGTCAGCTGTGAGTGGAAAAAGTTCTAACCTTTAACTAACTTTTTGTGTTTCTTACACTGCCCCTCCCCATTTAGCAGTACAAAGAAAAAGAAGAAAAGGACACAGAAAAATGAAACAACAGAAAATGAGCCCATCTTAATGGGTTGTGAGACCCCTGCATCATCAATTACTACCGATGGTGTTGAAAATGAATCTAGAGCCCATGAAGGGGAATTGAAGAAGAAGAAAAAAAGAGCAGTGACAAACTCAGTCTCCAGTGGGAGGGCAAATATTGCCTTTGAGCCTGACAGTCATAAAGCATAGCCATCATTTGATTCCAAGTACTGGTGCCACATTCATAACATAGTCAGAAATGAACTTCAGTGGGATTTACATGGACATAATAATCTCACTTTGGGATTAATAAATAAATGCTTCAAAACCAGTACATCCAAATAAAAATAATAATAAAATATCCTAGGCTTCAGTCAAAGCTTGATAACACTGTAGAGCTTAATTCTTTAAAGGGTAGGGGCAGGGCAGAAGCAGCTCTGGGGCTTTCCCATGCCTGCATCATTGGTGAGGCAATGGGAGAGCCTGGTGGGGTGGGCGCAGGGAAGGGAGCAGATGCCAGAAGGAGGAACCTGCACACTGTCATTGTCCCTGGCTGAGTCAGGCTAGCTACTCCCTTCAGCGTGGAACAGGAACAGCTATGGGGCTCCCCCCAGACTGGGATCAGCCTGGGACAGAGGTGGAAAAGATTGGAGCAGATGTCAGTGGGCAAGTGGCAAGGGGGCAGGCACCAGAGTAGGGGTAAAGGATGGGGTCAGGCCTGCAGCCTCCTACCCCTGCTGCTTGAGTCCGCACCACTTGACCCCCTGCCACTTGCCTCCCAACCTTCTGCCCTGTCGCTGCCACTGCTTTCCCCACCATTTGTGCCCCTGCTGCTGCTTTCCCCACCGCAGTTATGGGGGGACAAATTTAAGATGATCCTGCAATAATTAGATTCTATACATGGAAAATTGCAACAAATTTGTAATGTTCCATGTATAGAATCAAATTCCTGGGAGGTCATCTTAAATTCAAAGATGTCTTGGATTCAGGTAAATATGGTATTTATTTGAGAAAAGATTTTGCAATTCTTGAACATGGGACTGCTCAAATAATTAAGCACTTAGCAGCTTGGACAATATTTGCAAAATGCAGCATTTTGCTGTATTAATTTTTAAAACAGTTTTATATGACATATATGAAAACCTGAGCTAAAACTTTGTAAAACTCAATTTCTACTGCACTAACAAGCAATGGAATTGCCAAATGTATTTCACTTTGAAGAGACATTTCAGAAGAAACCAAGTGGTTTGTTTTATATTTTTGCATAATATTTATTTGATTTGTATGCTTAATTACTCTGTTTTAATATAATATTACTATGTTGTGAACCTGTGTAATGACTATCAAATATCTTACATTTGCTATTAAATAAAAATACTTTCCATTGGGTTAATGCTGGTATTTTTTTTCTGCCTGGCAAAGTCCAGTTTATTTTTACTCTGCTAGGAAATTCTTTCCCCTCCCCCTCTGAAGCAATAAATAACATAAAATTAGAAAGCCCTTATTTAGTAGACAAGGCACTTGATTCCATTAAAAAAAGAAGTGAAAATAACAATGTTGGGCACTGATGTGTGAAATGCACCCAGATGCAAAGGACTTGTTGCCATATATTATAATATCATCCCTGCACATGTTTTTGAAGGCATAAGAATCTGTAAACATGTTTCTGTTAGGTAAAACCCCTCAGAAAAATAAGTCCTTATGTAGGGGCATTGAAAATTATCCACTTATGTTTAACCAATGTGTAATACATATGTGTTCATTCCTCAATAGGAATTACATGTGCATTGGAGTAATAATAGATTATTTAGTATGGATTCTGGTAAAATTATGTTATTCCTGACTAGTGAAAATGCCTAATGTTTTAGTGAGGATTCTTTTTGACATTCTGCTGAAACACAGTCTAGCTCATAGTTCAGTAAAATGTGCAGGATCAAACGTTTTACACAAGGAGAAACTTTAGCATCCTATTATGTCCTTGGTCCCATTTAAAAATAAGGGCAAAGAATGACATCAGGCTAGATGTCAGGGAGAGCTGTGTAGTAGCCAAGATTGTGGATGCTTATTCAAAAGCATTGTAAAATGTTAATTTGGTATTTTGGATGCTGCAGACAGAAATAACACTTTGGATAAACACCACAGAGAAATGGTAGTTCTAATCAAAGGCACAGCGCCTTCTTTCATGCTTGCGAACTAGGGCTCCAATTATGTTCAGTGCTCTAAAGCTGAATAGAGCTCCTTTGCCACACTTTCCAACTTGAGAGAAGAGAAACAGAAGCAGTGTCTTCCAAGGCACAGCTCCAAATAACAATTAAGCAGAGAAATCGAATAAGAGACCGAACACAAATGTTTATGGAGTTTAAAATGTACTTTTAAAAACTGCTTTATTACTATGCTTGTTATTACAGAGATGCTGTTTTTTGTTGGCACTATTCCTTTCACTCCACCTCTGTTGAGGATTAGATTCTTTTACTCCTTTGTATTCTTTCAAATTTTCTAAAACTATCTGCATTTAGTGAAATGAAAATGAGAGAAAATAAAAATCTGCCTTTAACAAAACCATTCTGAACCATTCTCTATAGTGCAATTAGAAGCTTCAGATTAAGATGATAAATAATCCTTGAAGAAGAACTATCAGAGAACAGCGTTGAGGAATTGGCATATTCCTTTGATTTAGAAATATAGGTAATAAATTCATGAATAAAACTTTTTCTTTCTTTTACTGATACTGAATTCTCACCAATGGCTAAAGTTATTTTTAGGAATTAAAATTTTATTTTGGATGCCACAAAAGAATAAATTATTTTTCTGTGAAACCAGTCTGGAGGATGCTTTGGCAGATTAAGCTTTTCACATTACGTACTATGCCATTGTGTAACATTGTGCTGTTTTTAAGTTAATGCAGTGTAACACAAAAGGTTATGAAAAAAGTTTTTGCTGTGTCTACTTGATGGGAATTTTTCAGGTGTTTACAGGAGTTAAAATTTAATCTAAAAAAATCCCATCGGGTTCATAGTACTTATTATACATATGACATTTTTTACATACCACCTTTTCCTTTTTTTAAAGGAAAGCATTACATTTCCCAAATCTTAGTGTTTTAAGACCTTGCTCATTAAGTTTCTGGCCACAAAGAGTAGAGTTATAAACACCTGCCTGTGGGGTTTCTAAAGGAAATTCACACTTAACCTTGAACAAGTGACACAAACAGTGATCGTTATTGGATCAAAGAGGGAAGAAAATCCAAGTGATACACAGGCTAGAAGCCTGATGTTTGTAACCTATCCCACCAGTAGTAGTTTGTTTTTTATATTCTATTATATATGTTTTATGGATACATACCTGACTCTGTAACGCATATATGTGATTCATCAAAGATGCAGCAAACAATATTAAAAGGAAAGCATGGCATTATTGTCCCTTGCCTTCCTCCATAATCATCAGGCAGCACTTAATTTTTGTCTCAAAATACTGTAAGGAATAGACATCATAAAACCTAAGTAATGTATTTGCAGCATCGCTTAATTCAAAAGGCAATAGGGAATGGATCACAGTCAAACAAGGGCTAATGAGAACACAGAAGAACATGACAATTGAAAGTCTCTGTTGACTAGTGAACTAAATCTGCCGGCTGGACCCAATTGTCTGATGGAGAATTGAATGTCAGGATCATTTAGGGTTAACAATGGTCCGACACAAGCGAAAGCAGACAGCTATGAAAAATAGCCGGCATGCTAGCCATTCTGCAGAGACCATGGATGCAAACTTGATAATGAGGCACTTCATTCACCACATCCTTCTGCTCTAATTACTAAGGTGAATAGGAAATACTTCATTTAAGGCGGGAACAGGCTAAAGTAAAACCAGTTGTTTGGAAAATACAAAGAGAAGTGTGTATGTGTGGGGTGCGGGGGTTAATGATCCCTTTCTAATATATATGAAATTATTTTGAACTTAAACTTCATGCTGAAGGTACTTTTGCATTAGCATGTACGCCTGTTTAAAGTTTCATCGATAAGCACAGCACTGTGGTGGAAGTTGGGTCCATCAGCAGTAGCATTCTTGTTCAAAAACGTAGATACTCAAACTGCCTCAAACTAAGCCGCTGTAATTCATGAACTGGATCCCCAACTTAACTATCTACCCGCTGAAACACTATGCAGGTCTAATGTAACACACAACTAACTTTCTACCTTTGGCTTAAAATCCAATTTAGTGCTTATCCTCACTATTCATTTGATTAAAAAAAAAAACAACAACTCTTCAATTAAAGAATAAGTGACTGTTCTAGAAAAAGTTATTTGTACAATGATATAAAAAGCTGGAGTATATTTGTAATGCATATGATATCCTCATCTTTAAAAAAAAATGCATCTGGAAGTTGGGGGGGAAAAAACCCCAAATGAAGTATTTGCTGATTATTAAAGCAATTTAGAGAAGGGAAAGTTTTAATTTAACAGCAATTCAGAGGTTTAGGATTTTTGGTTTTTTATTATTATTTTTACTTAGCATTCTGTCCAAAGACTGCCCAAAATGTTTTGGAGGAAATAATTTATGGATGTACAACTGTGCCTGCAAAAACATATTGCATCAGTTCAAAGGTTTTTATTGCTTAAAGTATAAATATATGCATTGGGAACAGAACCACTGTGCATAAGGAATAAAAATGAGAGCAGGCTGGAAAGAGGAAAATGAGCACTTTGAGAAGGAAACTGTTCTCTGGGGCAGACATGATAATGTAGCAACTAGAAGTCAGAAGGAGGAGGAACAGAAGAGAATGAAAAGGTTTGTTACAACAAAGCTTTGGTGTTTTCAGTCATGCTTTTTAACATTTAATCGCTATGAAGTTTTAATTACTTCACCCTCCTGTGGCAAATACACTGTGTTCTTCTATGCCATTTACTGTGGTCTCTCAGCCAAAACTTTAAAAACGAAGGAGGACGTTCTGCTTGGAGAACTTAGGGCTCAGGGAAAGAGGACAGTGGCAGCTTTAAGCCACTTCTGGATATTCCCCCTTCTGAACTGCTGTGGGGCCCAGAGTACACAGATAAATGCCCTGGCATCTCTGAAGCTCTGGTGTTGCAGCACTTCCTCCAATGTGCCCTGTCTCCAGTACAAGCCCCACACTAGAACTTATATGCGAGGGTCCTCAGAAAGCAGCTTTAAGGCCTCGGGCTGGATGAGTTCTTCCTTATGCTGCTCAGTCCCTTGGAACTGGGCACGAAATGCTGGAGTAGAAGTGAGGACTTCTGTTATGAGTACAGCAAAGCACCGTTCCTTTTGCCACCATTCTTGCCATTGTTCTGTCTGTTGTGTCTCCGTTACCTGCTGCCTTACACCTCAGAGCTGGCTGTGTTTCAGCTCATCTGACTCACATTGGTCCCAAGCCCTGCATGTAGCTCTGTGCTGGTGCATTCCTACGCCAAGAAAGATGTGGGGCCTCCACATGGGAATAGGGTTCCACATGGGAGGATCAGGGCTATAGTTTTTTGCTGGAGTATACATTACTTTAGGTTCGCCAGGCTACAAATATATTTTTATTTTGTTCTAGCAAACTCTCCCAAGTACATTTCGGCCAGTAATCTCCAACTGACTGATGT